ATGTGAATGGCCAATCCATTTGATAACCTTGCTGAGTTCTTGGCCTCAGCACCTTCCAGTGGCAATGAGTTCCACAGTCTAATCACACAATGTGTGTAGTAAGAGGCAGTCTCTGCCCCAGAGAGTTGAAAATCTAAATAGATAAGGCAGACCATTAAAGTAGTACTATCCCCTACTGAGGGGCTGAGGCACTGAGAGAATAAAGGGTAGATTTTCAAATGTTTTTAGAAGCCCAAAGTTGCAGGTAGGTGCCCAGTGGGATTTTCAAAAGCAATGAAATCAATTAGAGTTTGGCACTTTGGCTTTTTGAAAACCCCACTAGGTGCCTATCTTCATCAAAACCCTTGGGAAAGCTGGCCCTGAGTGACTTGCCTAAGAATTGGAATTGACCCAGATCTCCTGAGACCCAGTCTAGTGCCTTCACCACGAAATCATTCTCCTCCCTACTTCAAAGCATTGCGTGTCCAACTCATGGACAAGAGTAACGGGATGGGGCTCCAGTCCTGTGAGGGGCTGAGCGCAGAGGCGCTCAACACTTAGCAAGACGTGCCCCCTCCTCTGGTGCTCCTTTGACTGACAAATGGAGGGGCACTGTAGGAGAAGTAAGAGGGCCTTTCCCTTCCTGTCTCCAGTGGAGAAGGATCACCGAAGCCGCAGAGCATGTCACGGGTGTACAGTTGGTTAGCTTGGCAGCTCTTTTTTCCAATGGAAATTAAATTGCACAAGCCAAAACTCCGAGTTCAGGGTGAAGCTGTGTTCTCAGCCCTCTCTGACACGTCCAGGGTGTCTCTAGAAACCAGGCTTGCTCCCACTCTCCTCACTGTCGGTGTCTAGCAGTGAGAGCTTTTCCTCTGCCTGCCTCCATTCTCTGGGGAGCCCTCCGTGCCCCCAGTAATTCCCCGCAAGTCCATCTCTCTCTCTCGAAGCGGACAAGCAGAGCACAGACCAGGGGCAGGCACTCCCTGCTTTTCACCCTGACACATGAAGAGCGCTCGCTCCCGTGATGAGAACCCCTCTCCCATTCTTGGCCGGGTGTGTCCGGCGGTGTGTGGATTGCTGCTGACTGGACTGACTGAGTGAGAGGAGCAGGTTGTGCTCCCTGGGGGTATGGCAAGCCTCATGCTGCCAGCAGTGATGCAGGAATAGCAGGAGATGGGCAGGTTTGGAAGGTGGGGAAGGTAATTTCATATCCCCCCGAGCACCATTGCTAATCAGCTTATCCCCAGGCCAGAACCTGGCAGCTCTGCGGTGGGGTTATATCCAACATACTGTATAATAGACCAAATTATGCCCTCCATTGCTCCACCGTAGAGCTAGCGTAACTCCATTCAGTTGCAGGTGTTGACTCACCACTGCGTTACCATACAGTGCTAGGTAGCGTTGGAGTCCGACAGCGTTGGAGTGGCCTGTTGATGTCATTGTTGCTTTGCATTCATCCCCCCATTTACATCACAAAGCAGAATTTGATCCAGGGGTGCTCCAGGATGGTCTCAATGAAGGCTAGACCTTTAGCACGACCTCCGAGTTTCTTGGCTGTCTTGACTGTAAAGCAGGCCTTTGAAGCTAGTATTCGAACAAGCTTCTGGATTTGGGTGGAATACATTCTAGCTGAGTCTGCCATGTAGTGTGAGCAGAAGCCAATCACCGTCTTCAAATCATTATTTCCATGTACGTGTTATTTTGAATGCCGGGATGAAAGGGTCGTATCACAGCATTTTTGTCCCATCAGTCACTCTGTGTCTCTCTGTCTGAAGCACAGGCAGGGGTCTCCTTTCATCTAAGGGATGATGAGGCATTATGGTAACAGCAGCAGTTGTTTGGGTTGACGTTGTCGAAGCTTTCATCTTGTGTTCTAAGTCGTGAAGCATCAGCTGCGGTGCTGCTGTTCCCGGTCTGCGGCTGATGTGTAGAGAGAGTAGGGCAGAGGCAGTTCTTTGCATGGGTCCTTCTGGAGCTAACGTTCGCCTCGGCACGTAAAGGAGAATGGCGGTGGTCAAGCCACACCAATATTGACTGACACCCAACTGGTGCACTTCCAGCTCCAGGGATGAATTCTAGCAGGGCGCTGCATGGAGGTACCTGCCTGAAAAGCTGTGCCCAGCATTGTGGATTGGGAGGTGCCCACTCCGATTCTCGCTTCTGCCCCCAAAACATAAGACCAGCAGTGACAGGAGTAGAAGAGGTACAGAGTCAGGGCTTGTGATTCTCATGTATGTACATGGATGTCTCCTGACACAGCGGGACCCGAATGCTTGGCACTCTATGGACGTCCCAACTGGCTAGTAACCCCCTTTGTTCCTCATCTCCTGCTCTCCCCTGGACCTGCATGCAGGTCCCACTGCCCAGCCTCACTCTTCCCCACCCACCAGGCATCTCTGCATTCTTACCTCCCTCTGCTGCCAGCTGCCCATCCCCTGCCCACTCAACCATGTGGCTTCCCCTTCTGTTATCTACTCCCTGCGCTTGTCTCCAGTGTCTCTTCTTCCCATAGGCATCACCACTCCCACCCTCAACAGGCCCTCCATCTCCGTGACACTCTCCACCCTCGGATAAGCTCCAATAACCACCCTTAGCTTTAGTCAGCCCTTGATAATTTGGGAAAGTTGTAATCAACTGAAAACAGGGTCTTATAATGGAAAGTGTTAGGCAACCTGAACTCAGGAGGCTGCAGAAAGGAGCCATCCAGAGACTCCACCTGGTAGGAGCGGCAGCAGCCAAAGCAGGGACTGGTGCCCCTTTTAGCTGATCCCTTCCAAAATAACCCCCCGCCCGCCCCAAATTGTGGAATTAACACCACATTCCCACCATCACATTCTTCATGCTGTTTGTGTGTCCTACCCCTTCCTCACCCTGTGTCTGTCTTGTCTGTTTAGACAATCTTGTCTCATTGTTTCTTGTACTTTCCCCTCTGACTATAGCCACTTTTGTCACTTGTCTTAGATTTGAAGCGGTTTGGGAGAGGTACCATCTTTGTATAGTGCCTGGCACAGTGGGGTCCATGATTGGGGTTGGAGATGCTGCTGCTTGTGCTGCCTATAATACTGCCTTGGAAGGATTAGATTTTAATAGGAAAAATGTCGGTAAACCTTGATTTCACTGTTCACATGCAAACCAAGAAAAATATTTCCATTTCTAACCATCTAAATATGCAGTTAGGTAAAGTAAGGAAAAATGATGCTTAAGAACTTAAAGTTTGATTTAAGGATATTGTCTTTGTAGATTTTGACATGTGATGTTGACAGTTTGTGCTTTAAAGGGGATAAAACTTCCTATTTTTTGAATCTCAACATCTGCTGCCCTTCAATAATTATTGTCTGGCCCTCCCAGGAGTTCCTACAACTGTGAAAATGTAAATTGATAAAAAGAGAAAAACATAGGAAAACCCATAATGTTGCACAGTGAAAATTTAAATTGGAAAAAAAAAAAGACTTAAAAATAAATTGATATCTGTCAAAATTATTTAAAAAATAAAAATCCAATTCTGCCAAGCCCAATTACGATGTTCCTTTAATATTTATGTAGTTAATTTCTCCAGCTCAGAATAAAAAGCCCTCTTCTTTCGTAGATAGTAGCTTGTGATACCGAGGATCTGAGCAAGATGTTGCTTTCCAAGCATTTTGCACAGGATTCCTCCTGTGCAGTGCCATTGTTTGACAGAATTACCCTTCGTAGCCCAGTAAGAGGGGTTTAGAAATCAGTGCGGCACTTCTGTGGGCGAGACTGCGCCCGTTGGCACAGCCCTGAGCAGGCACAGCTGTGTTGCCCCAGAGCAGATCAGGGGCTGACCTGTGACTGCTCTGCTCCAGAAGCAGGGGAATCTGCTTCTACTCTGTACTGCTGGAGTGGGTGAGCACATAACTTCACCCATGTGCCTGCTCCTTGCACCAGCCTTTCCCCACCCACCTGTTCCAGAAGGGGGTCAGCGGCCCTGCTCTCCTCCATGTGCTGTGAGCTGCGGGCCGTGTAGCCGTTCAGGAGAGTAAGGGGATGCCGTGTGCCCCTTTGCTCCCCTGTGCAGATGCATCAAGCGATGGTCTTGCCCAGCATGAAACGTTTTGTTGTTTGTTAAATAACTGCCAGCCCAGATTCAGACATGGCGGGCCCGGGGTTTCAGCGGGTGTCTTGTAGAGGAAGGGTGCTGTTCGCTGGCAGGAGTTGGAGAATGGAGAAGGCTGCGCTTTCTGGGTTGAATAACAGGAATGCTATTAACGAATTCCCCTCAGCGCTGGCCTACACTGGAAAGCGAGGCTATGTCACTGAGGGGTGTGAAAAGTTCGCCCCCTGTAACAGACATAGTTAAGTCAACCTAGGCCCCAGTGTAGACAGTGCTAAGAATTCTTCTGTTAACTTAGCTACCGCCACTCTGGGAGGTGGACTCATTCCAGTGATGGAAGGATCCCTGTGCCGCTGGAGCGTTTCTAGACATAGGCTCCGTATTTAAGATCCAGTGCTCTGGGCATCTCTCTCTTGAATTAATCCTTGCAAAAGAAACCATAGACACTGGGCTGCCTGTAAGTAGGTCTGCCTCGACCCCTGCCCTCCACAGCGACTCTGGTGGGTTTGCAGCATTCCCAAATCTGCACCTAAGTGGGCAGTAAGTTCCAAAATTGAGGCCCCCTCTCAGGGTGTGTCTGCTCTGCAATCACAGGTGTAGGTGCACCTGAGCTAGGTCCCACCTAGCTAGCTTGAATAACAATCGTGCTGAAGCCCATTGTGCACATACCAGGTGTGGAAGCAGAGTTCCAGGTGGGCTTGTACAGCCCATGCTGATGCAGCTTCCTGGTGATTGCTATTCAAGCTAGTTAGATCAAAGGGTGTTTCTACCTGTGCTGCAGTCACACCTCTGGCAGCTACGTAGACATGCTCTCAGAGAGCAGCCGGCCAGCAGCCCCTCTGGTTTATATATAGCGGCTCTGCTGACCTCAGCTGGTGTGGTGTGTCAGATACAGAAATCACACTGTCAGCCTCCGAACAACATGTCTCTTAAACATCTTTTCCAGCGTCTCCGTCAATTAAGCTCCTGGTGGACGACCCCATCGTGGTGAACCCCGGCGAGGCCATCACCTTGGTCTGTGTGACGACGGGAGGCGAGCCGGCGCCCACGCTTAGCTGGGTGAGATCCATTGGAGCCCTGCCTGAAAAAACCGTGCTGAACGGCGGGACCTTGACGATACCGGCCATCACTTCGGATGACGCCGGCACGTACAGTTGCATCGCAAATAATAACGTGGGGAACCCTGCAAAAAAGTCCACCAACATCATTGTCAGAGGTAAGTTGGGCTCAGATGCTCCTTTGAGGGCCATCTCTCCTTCATTCCTCTTTGGCAGGGTGGCTGCCTGTAAATTTGTGTCCTACTGAGCGAAGCACGGTGTTGGCCAATTCTAACAACATACGGAATAAATCAGTACTGGATCAATGCCGTTTCAATGGGGCTTTAGGCACACCATGGCATGGGGGGCTCTGTAGTCCAGCCCTGAGGGCCTGCCAAGGGATAGCAGCTGGGGCCCCACTTTTCTGCCCCCTTGGAAAGGGAGGACAAGCAGCCAGAGGCCTCCAGTCCTGTTGGATGCTATCTGTGGGCAGGTTGGCTGGACCTTCTGCATTTTTCTCCAGCCACACTGGGGTGGTGTTGGCAGTAGCCCCCAAGAGAGCAGTTCTTGGCATTGACACCCCCCCTGAGATCCATGGGGTAGTCACCCGCTAGCCTGTTGCTTCAGGCTTTCTGCAGATGTCACCAGGGTCACATGTTCATTCTTTTCTTCCTGCCCACGAGGGTGGGAAGCTTACTACCTTGGGGGTTTACCTGAAAGCTGATATTCTGATGCGATCATGTCTGCAAGTGCTGGGGCCTGTTGTATTGGAATAAATGGGCTAACAGTGTTTCTATAACTTAGTTACTGGCTAATATTAAACAGCGTCACACAAGGTTTGGGGTTTGGTCTATAGAAACTTTAGCTTGCTTAGTGCTCTGGTAAACATACTGTTTGCTTTTGTAGCTAAGTAATTTTCTCCCTAAAATCTCTTTCATTTAGGGTGCACCACAGGAGCGAGAGGCGAAATAGCTCATCCCCTCATTATTTTGTTATTACTTAGGGTTAGTTTTTGACACACCAGTTTTCATTTACTGATTTTTAATTTGCCACTTTTTTGGATTGCGAGGCACAATTTTACCACCGTTTTTGTGTTATTTTAGTAGCTCTTTTTATTTGGGTGAATTTAGATTGAGGGGTTATCACTTTTTTTATTAATATTTGATGTTCTAGGTTACTATGACGTTTTATGAATTGACACTTACTTTTTAAAGGCGACTTTACAATTGGGGTAAATTTGTAGCCCAGTTATTACAACGGGCCTGAGTCCATGGTACCTATAATTTAATCCAGATAAGGGGACAATGAAGAATATGTGCCCAATAATTACTCCCAGGAGAAAACTAAATCTGCCTAGTCGTGTTGGCTTTCAGCGTGAGCCTGGGCTAACCACAGAGATATGGCTGATTAGTTTGAAGGAAGATTCCTATTGGCCGGTAGGTGGATTAATCTACCTGAACCAAATAGTTCAGTTGAAACTAATTTTCTATAATCTAAGATGCCAATGGTATGAAACATAAACTCCCACACACTGGGTGCTTTTAGTAATAACTTGTGATTCATCATACTCGGGAGAAACTGCTGTGTTAGGAGCAATGGTGTGATTATTTCATGAGAGCCTGGCCTCTGTTTGCTCCTTAGTGCCTGGCATGTTATACTTTCCAACAGGCCGAGGAAGTAGTATATTTTGTTAGGGAGGTCCGGCAGAGAGCATAGCACCAAGCATCTGTAGGAGCTTGTCAGGCTATTGCAATGGCGTTAGTTGTAGAATAGTTCCACGGGAATCTTTTGACATTCGGCTTAAAGCTTTTATTGGTGGGAAGCAAAAATGCTGTGTTATTTCCAGAATCCAGCAGCCACATTCATTCGCTGTGATTTACGCCGGTAATAAGACTGGGCGATGAGGATGTGCCTGGAACGCACGTTTGGAATAAGCAAAAGGGAAGGAAAGAAATCTCGATATTTTCATTGACCCAAAAAGCAACACTAGTGGCCTAGAACAAGAGTCCCTGGTTCCCCACAGAAACAAATGTCTTGAGTCATAAGATAATAATACTCTGCTCGTGCATTTTTATTGATGGGAGCCCATGCCTGGGAAAATCTCATTAAAAACGGACATGGGTTTTCCTTTTCTAAAAAGCCGCCTGGCCCAGTTCATTCCTAACTCAGTCAGGAGGGGGGAAGAAATCACCAGCACCCCAGCAAATGACAGATAAGGCACAGCCCCCCTCAAGGCACATAGATGAAGAGCACAAAGGGTTGCCCTCGTAGCTGCAAGCCGTACTCCTCAATGGGGGCTGTAGAGGCACAGCAACTTGGTGGGAGTTCCCAGGGACATGGAGCGCTAGAGGGTGCAGCTGTGGCCACCGTTCCTTGGAATGGGCCAACTTCTGCTGTTGCTTGTAGCCTTTCCTGCCTTTCCACCTCTAACCTAGGTGGTTGATCAAGGCCATTCGCTGTATGGCTGCACGAGAGGTGGGGAGAATGCAAGAGGACCTGGGTGAGGGAAGCAGTGGCCAAATTACTAGATCAGCTAGGGCTGTGGGGTGGGGGGAGGGGTGCTAAGGATTTAATTAGTCTGTTGACTGCAAGAGTAGAAAAGGAGTGCAGTAAGGAAGTGCAAGGGGAGGAGGAGAGAGAAATGCCGGCAGGCCCAACGTAAAGGGGGAATCTCTGCATGGACAGATGTCTTTCTTCTCTTAAGATTGTAAGACACAGTGAATCGAATTGCCGCACAGGACGGTAGGAGGGTGGTGGGGTTGTTAAAACACAGAGAGTATACCGTGGTGGTTACAAACTGGCGGTGTCAGAGCCATATGTGAGAGGACAGGAGTGGAGGGCTGCACCCTGTCACAAGTGGGGGCTTATCCAGGCATTGCCTTATCCGTGCTCATGGATAACGGAATGGTGGGGGGCTGATGCAGAGGTCTAGCTGTCTGGACAATGGAGGAGACCCTGCAATGGCTCGTAGAACAGGAGGAGATGCAGAAGACTCTGCAGGCCTCCCAGTAGTCCCACCCCCTGGAGAAACAGTCCTTTATTCGAGAGCAAGCTTGCGTTCAGCAGCAGCTTCTCCAAGGTGCAGTGAGACCTGTAGTGGGGAATGGCAGCCGGGCACAGGCAGTAGGGCCTCCGGGACCTGGGCTCTGCAGATTACCCGACTCGTTCTTAGTCACAGTTGAAAGAGTAGCTGTAGCTGAAGGCTGAGAGAAGGGAACCTCGGCCCTACGGCTCGCACCCTACTTGTCAGGGGAAGCTCAGGCAGCCTACGTGGCTCTAAGTGACGAGCGAGCACTGGACTATGATGTGGTTAAGGCAGCCTTCCTAGAGCAGGGGTGGGAGATTATCCACTGAAAAGTAGCCACAAAAGTTTTGGGCTGTTAGATGTTATGGCCCTGGGCGTTTGCTCAGAAACTGATGGACTGGGCCACTCCCTGGTTGAGGCCAGACACTCTCATTGGGTGAGATCATGGATGCAGTAATTTTAGAACAGTTCCTTCAGGAGAACACCCAGGTATGGGTCAGGATGCATTAGCTGGTCATCCCAGATGCAGCGGTCAAACTCACAGAAGAATTGGTAGAGGCAGATATCCCCAGGAAAGAGGGTTGACAATTCCAGGGACCAGTCCGGGTGAGAAGGGTTGGAGAACCCCTGGCTGGAAAGGTCGCAGAGAAGAGGGAAGAACCTAGGGGGAATCTGGCTGGGACTCGGCGTATTGTCTGTTATGAGTGTGGGCACCAAGTACGTATAAAAAGAGACTGCCCCTAGATGGGATGTGGGTTTGCAGAGTACTGTGGTTGGGCAGAGCCTCTTGGGCATGGAAGGAAAAATAAATGAACTCCTGTTTCTGTGACGGTGGGGACGAGGTGTCAAAGAGGTCTAGCAGGCACTGCCTCAGTCTGTTCACTGGTCAAGAAGAAATTGGTGAAGCCCCACTGGAAGCTCTTGCAGCCTGATCATATCCATAGGGATAAGAAACTCTGCCCTATGGCTGAGGGACCTTGGAGGTTCAGGGTAGTGGACACGTCCCACCCCATCGTACTAGGCACAGACTGAGGCTAATTACTAGATCAGCCTGGGGTGGGGAGAGCTAAGGAGCTAATTAGCCTGTTACGTGCAAGAGTAGAACAGGAGCACAAGAAGGAAGCGCAAGAGGAGGAGAAGAGAGGGAGAAAGACCATTAGGGCCAAGTTGAATTAGAAATAGACTCTCCTGAGTGAGTTCTTCTTTGAGTGCTTGTTCATGTCAATTCCAATCAGGTGTGTGCGCGCACATGTGCATCGTAGCCGGAAGACTTCCCCCCTAGCAGCATCTGTGGGGTTGGCCTGGGCACCCCCTAGAGTCGTGCCATCATGGTGCCCAATAAAGGGCCCTGCCAACCCGCCAACCCCTCAGTTCCTTCCTACCGCCAGTGATGGTAGCTGGAACTTCTCCTTGCTCTGGTTTCGGTAAGCGGCTTAGCAGTACTTTCGGTTTTCGCTGTAGTTAGTTAGTTCTAGGTGGTTAGTATAGCATAGTTAGTTCACTTGTACATTTTAGTTACGGGGGGGTTCCCCCCCTGCTTTTCTCCCCCTTATTTGTCACAGAGGCATGCCGTGATCCCCGGGCTTCAAGACTTGCCAGGACTGTGTGAAGCGCAATCCTAAAAGTGACCCCCACAACACCTGTTTACGGTGTCTGGGCGTGGGTCACCAAAAAGACCTGTGAAGGTCTGTTGAGAATTCTGATCAAGAACTCTTAAAGAGAGGGACCAGCGGATTAAAATCCTTCTCATGGAGGCAGCTCTCCAACCTCAGTCGGATCCGGGTGCCGGGGATCCCGCTCCCAGTACATCTCCTTTGGCGCAGAGCGCTCTGGTGCCCTCCTCGAGAGATCCGGCAGAGAAGAAAGACACTGCCAAGGAGGCTCGGCACCATCATGGAGTCTCTTGGGGGCACTCCTGCCTTTGGCACTGCTCCCAAACGCTGGCGCAGAAGAAGACAACGACGACGACGGAAAGAGGCTGACCCCCCTTGGGAAGATCCAGGGACCAGCCATCAGTGGGTCCTCAGTCGGGCCACGGCTCCGAGGCTCAGAGTGGGGCTACGTCGACTCCTGCCCAAGTGAAGCAGTCAAGTGCGGGCCAGTCGCGCGCTCCGAACCCCTCGGAGCACTTGCCGCTCCCGTCCACCCCGGAGG